CTTTCAAAAAAAAAAAAAGAAAAAAAAAAGCATTGTGGCCCAGTGGTCTAGGCAGCTGGATCTCGTATGGCTAACCCTGGGGTTCGAGTCCCAGACCCGGCAACTTGAGAAACAAGCCAGGCACAAGTACACGCATGCCTATAATCTCAAAAGGAGGGAGAAATGGAGAAGGGATCGTTGTGTAATTATTCCCCCTACGAATGGTTTCTCCTCTGCCTCTGTCTCCCTCTGACAAGCGCACACACCTTCTAGCCAAAAGAAAAAGAATTAAAGGAAAAAGGCACGGCGGCATCCTGTGTTCCCTCCCTCCTTTTCTGTCACAATCGGTCTATGTCTCTCTCATCTCTGGCTTTGGAGAAAGTCAGCCGCCATGTTGTGAGGACACTCAAGCAGTTCTGTGGAGACGCCCATGTGGTAAGGGCTCCTTGAAGCAGCCGTCTGATGTCGAATGGCCGCCTTCTCCCAAGGCCCTTACCCCACTGCTGCTGCTCAGTGGAAGGATGGGAGGGGTGGCCGGACCTCCACAGAGCCAAGCTGGCACTGGACCCTGCACAGACCCTGCACAGGCTGAGGTGCAGAGCCCCTGCTGCAGGTCTGCAGAATGTGCGTTCCCGGAGTGTAGCCATTCCCAACTCAGGACTTCTCTTGTAAGATAATTACCAGCTTTGAACAAGCGGCACTGATCGGGTCCTTGTCTCCCATGTCTGTCCCCCTGGTCCATCTTCAAGGCTCCTGCACGCTCCCCTCTCTGTTCCCAGGGTCCCGCACCTCCAAGGTGGTTTCAGGGCCTCTGAGATCCCTCCCCACTGCCATGCCTTTCCACACTTCCTCACCTGCTCAAAGCCTGCTGTGCCCTGACTCTGTGCTTCCAGAATATACCATGCCCTTTCACACCCCCCAGGCCTCTGCCAGTGCCAGCTCCTTCCTATTCGTGTCCAGGCCCAGTGGCCCCCCCTGCGGTCAGTGCTCAATCTCCAGGTTTGCACCTCCCCGGGCAGCCACCCTGTCCTGGCCCCCTGGTCCATCTTCGAGGCTCCTTCATGCCCCCCTCTCTGTTCCCAGGGTTCCACACCTCCAAGGTGGTTTCAGGGCCTCTGAGATCCCTCCCCACTGCCATTCCTCACCTGCTCAAAGCCTGCTGTGCCCTGACTCTGTGCTTCCAGAACATACCATGCCCTTTCACATCCCCCAGGCCTCTGCCAGTGCCAGCTTCTTCCTATTCATGTCCAGGCCCAGTGGCCA